GTTGTGAAGGACCTGTGTTGTGGATTTGTACTGATTAAGAGGAGTTTAAACTGATTCTTAAGACTTTTTTCCAATGTTCAGGTGATCCAGATACCATGCCCACCAAGCCAGTTTCCCATACCATCATGTTTGGACCAAAACATCACAAAGGCAATCTAGGGAAATATTTTTTCCGTCTTGCTGAGTTGGCAGAAGACGGAACACCAAAAGAAAACTTTACTTTGAACTACTCCTTGAGGATCCTGCAAGCTCAGTGCAGCTTCTATCAAATCAAGACAAATCAATGGAATACAGATGGAGTCCAGGTATTAGACTAGTGTCTTTACTTGTCGAAGGCCATTTTTCGCTATTATGTAGACACTACAAGCGTTTCAAAAACGAGTGGATTTGGCTTAGACTTTGGTTTCGCTGGTTCCAGCCATTTTGAAGAAGCATTCAAAACTACATGTTCTAGCTCTGACTAAAACCAGCGAAATCGAAGTTTAAGCCAAATCCACTCATTTAAAAAATGCTCTTAATTCAGGAGTTACTGACAAGTTTTTTTTCTAGGATGTCTGAAATACCTGTAAATAATAATTGTTCAGATTTTTTTCCACGGTTTGACAATTCTAAAAACTCAATCCCAGAAGGCAAATCTTTAATGATTTGCTGTCTCACCCTGATCACAGACTTCGGAATAAAACAGAAAAAACTTATAAGCCTGCTCAGGTGTACAGCTCTGCATGTGAACTGTGTAGAATTTTTCTATACGTAATTAACCCAAGTTAACCTTCTTGTAGAAACTTTATGTTACTTTATTCATCTTTTGGTTCATCTTTGTTTCTTTAGGTGATCTTGGATGAAAAGACCAACCTTCCAATTTGTCAGACTAGCCATCTGACTCCCTTCACAACAACATGGATCGTCAAACCTGTTCCCTTGGACTTTGATTTGGCCTTTACCGATTTTAACCCAGGGGATCACGTCACTATCATCATAACTTGCTGTGTGGTCTATACACTGTTCTTATTTATCTTCATATGGGCTCGTCGGAAGGACAAGAAGGACGTCATGATGGTTGGTTTATTTACATCTCCTTATTCTGTTGAGTTTGTGTTGTGACAAAAAACTTCCATTAACCCTAATGGGGGAATTGAATTCACCCTCATTTTATTTGTTCTCTGAGGAGCTGTGTTTCCCAAATCCTGCACTTGCAGGGTATATTCTATGCTTTACTGGTACATCAAATTATATTGGTTACACTTTTTTTCTATGTGGGATTCTTACTTTCTGCTGCATTGGATTCAAGCCAACCACTCACTCTGGAATTCATGGGTTGGGATCCCATCTGACCAAGCTTGTGATTTTGTGTGTGTGTGAGTTTGTTTTTGCATTCAATTGGGGACCCTGAACAATAGAGGACAATAAGGTCCCCGATTGACAGAGGGTCCCCGATTGACAACTGTGTACAAAACATCTGGGTGGTCTTCTGAAAAAGTTACAAACAAAAGAGGAACAATAGGGGGTCCCCAGTTGCACCGCAAATACACCCATGTGTTTGTCTGTTGCACCACACTGAGAATACAGTGTAAATAATATACATTACTACAAGGATGAAACCTAGTATGAAATTAACATGCTTGGCGTAAAGTCATAGTAATATCAGTCAGGGTTTAACCCTGGATGTGACAAGGCCTTATCAAATGTGTCCCAACCCAACAGAGTCCTAGCAACCAGACTTGTGAGGTGTAGACAAGAGCCTTGTTCACAGCAACTCTTTCATGACAGAAATCTTTATATGCTCTTCAGTAAAACCAAAAAACAAATGAACATGTTGCACATCTACATGATATCTGGGTACTTCCAGAAATTAGGGGTCTGTTTTTTTCATGTCCCTGTCTCATCTGACATATGAGTTTGTTAGTTCAGAACACATTTTTTAATTTCCAAGAGTGATGAATTAATGCAAATTACCTGCCAAATAAATGGTAATTGTTTGAAATCAATTCTGGTGATATTTCCATATCAATATAGGTCAGATGGAACAGGGAAGCCAAAATGTCACACTTTTGAACCCCTGATTTCTGGAATTGCCCATCTATAAACAGTTGATTCAGTCATTACCAAAATACATCCGATTCACCATGAGGAAATAAGATAAGGCCTGGGCCCTCTGTACTTATTGGATTTTACCCCATCTCAAAATATTTTGAAAAGAGTATGTTTGCTGAAACTTCCTTTCTGCTGCAGTATATTTGGTGCTTCTTTGGAGACAACATAGTCTGAAATCACTCCCAAAGCCAAGACTGTCATTATGAATTTCTTGAAAGTTTTGGAAATGATGTTGATCAAGCTACAGGATAACTTGTTCCATAAAAAATGAAAATGTTGGGCTTCTTTTATTGTAAATATCCAGCTCGGAGTAACACCATTACCAGATAACAATCCAAGCCACTCCTACCTTTATGAGATGGTGGTAGTCACTGGAAAGAGATTGAATGCTGGCACAGAGTCTAAGGTATATGTATGTCATGAAGCTTAATCAATCCTGGGGATGTGTATTATGAGACCTCTTTCAAAGTTTAATTCACAGAGAACTGAAATCTTTCAGTACAAACCATTATTCAGAGGGATGGGTTTCTCACTGTTTGTAGATGGGCATTTTCCGGGTTTCAAATGAAAAGTCTATATATACATGTATTTCTCATTAAATTAGCTTAGCAAACTGTTAATTTAACCTGACGCTACTTATCCACCGCAGTCTTTCCATTCATATTTTTGTTCAGAAGCAGTTTGAGATACATCTCTGTAGACCCCCAAAATCTTGGCACTAGGTCTAGATTGCCATTTTTACCAGATTCACTTCTGATATCACGTCACTTGAAAATCCTTCATAACGTGGATGATTTCAATCCTCAAATCATTTAACATAAAATTTCACATCACAGGTGAGTTTCACCCTATCTGGAGAAGATGATGAAACCAAATCAAGATGCCTGGAAGATCCAGAGAGGAAGATCCTTCAGAGAGGCAGTGTTGACAGATTCCTCCTGACGACAGCAAAGTTAGACTTAGTATCATTTCTATTTCGTGGAATTTATTAACTAATGGAATAAAAAAAATTTACTTTCAAAACTTCAAGAATTAAGGGCTACCAAAAATGTTAGTCATTTGTCCAAAAGATCAGACAATCTTTGGTTCCATAAAAGCATTTTGTTGGAATTGAATACTATCTGGCATTTATATCTTTGCTGTTTCTTTTTATCGTCAACTTATTTGTTTGGGTTTGATTTCTTCAGAGTAAACTCTGTCATGTTGGTGTCCATCCCCTACAACTTGTCCATTTAATAATCTTTTTAGAGAACTGGCATTCATGTAAAGACATCAATTATGGATTCACCTATTAAGATTGAATTCAACTGGGCATAGGATTTTTATTTTGTGGTTATTTATAATTCACACTCTCACATATTTGTGAGAAAACTTAACATTTTTGGCTGACCTGTCACGAAGCCAGTGCTTGATTTTGATAAATGTCTTGATTTTATAAATTAGCTTTTGCAAAATGACTGTAAGGCATCAGTGCAAACTCTTAGAAACAGTGTTGTAGTTGAGTACGTTTTGAGTATAAAGTTCCCTGCCAAATATTGAACTGGTCAAGAGGGAATGAAGCTAGAGTACATGGGTATTTAATAGTGAATGCATCAATGTAAAACTACAAACTAAATGTAAGACTTCAGGCACTCCCAGAAAGGAAAAAAGTACTCAGAAAGTACCCGGCCAAGTACTGTTTTAGTACTGTTGTCCTAAAAACTTAATTTCTGTAAAACACGGTCTGAAGTCACCATCTCACCTTTACACATCTACCATGAAATGCCCATGGACTTCAACTTTGTTCCCCCTAACTAGTTAAATATTTGGCAGAGTACTTTTTACTCCGAAAGTACTCGACTACAATTCTGCCTCGAGATGTGCACTGTGACAGGATTGGAGAAAATGCACAGGGGGTTATATCCTCCCCCCTGTCATAAAGATGAAAAGTGACAAAGGAGTTTGTAAAGCAACATGACTACCTGAGAATTCAAAGTGGAAATGTGACTAAACGTTTGAGCAACACATGATTAGTACTAAGCAAAATCATATCAACTCACGTTGGCGTAGGTACAAAAATAGTTGGATGGATTGTATATTCTTGTGGACCATTCCAGACCCCTTGGACCACTTAACTACATGCGTATCTGGCATGACAACTCAGGAAGCGGCTCGGCACAGAACTGGTACCTGAGTTACATCGCAATTCGAGACTTGCAGACTAAACGGCGTTACTTCTTCCTTTGTAATGAGTGGTTTTCTGTGGTTGATGGAGACGGACAGGTAGGACACTTACTTTCAGTATTTTCAGTTCCGGTTTTTATACCGTGATGCCAAACTTGTGTTCTTACAACATAAGCAGCAAGTCTGGTCTGGTCCCAGCCAATTTGGCTCATCAGGCTGGTGTTTCTCTATGGTTTCCTTGGCATGAAACGACTGACAATATTTCTGTTCCCCCTGGATGAGATGCCAATCCATTGCAGGTTGCTTCCCTAGCTAATGCTGGTACCCATTTATACTCCTGGGTGGAGAGAGGCAAGCAGCTTGTTAAGGGCCACAACATACTGCCAGGAGCTGGATTGATTGGAAGCCACACACCCTAACCACGTGGCCACATGCCCCCAATATAAAACGATGCCTTATCGCCAATGGAATTTGAGACAAGTATTCACAGTGATCATTTGTGGCTGTAAATACAGCAACTCTGTGAAACAGTAACATTACTCTGTGCTTGTTCAATTGCATTTTGGGAGCTTTATTGGAATGCACAAAAAGACTCTTGGTTCTACTATGTTTTCTGTATGGGTTAATTGATTGGACAAAGAGGTGCTTTTAATTAAAGGAATTCTTTTAAAGTCTGAATGCATTCCTTTAGCACCAGTTGTCATTTCTCTGCTTGTCATAATTCTATTTATACTTTCTTTAGGTTGACCGACTTCTGCCGGTAGCCGGCAAGGAACAGATGCAAGAATTTAGCCATGTCTTCTCTAGCCAGACAGGCAAACACTTCAACGACGGACACCTGTGGGTGTCCATCTTTACTAGACCCCCAGGAAGTCGTTTCACCCGCATGCAGCGCGCCATGTGCTGCCTCATGGCCCTGTGGCTTGAGATGTTGGCTAGTATCATGTTCTATAAAGGACCCTCAGGTGGACCATCCGCTAAGCCCTTCAACATCGGACCTTTCAGCCTATCTCCATCAGAGGTACAGCTAGCCATCATGTTTCTTTTATTCTTGACTTAGGTTGTGTTTACGCAACCCCTGATCAGAAAACTTGTTTTTCATGTGAAAACAAAAACCAGGATTACGTTCAAGATAGCCACAAAAACATGGAACCCAAATCAGTTAATGCCGCATCCAAGGGAGACAAAGTACAAGGTAGTAGGCAACATTTTTGTTGAACAATTACAACAGAAAGCATTCTGCATGATTTAGTCCTATGGCTATTGCGCTAATCACTTTTACAGTGAAATGTGCTTAAAAGTTAATTTACCTGCTCTGTTCCAACATAGAGAGCAGTTGCGTTCTGGTTTTGGTAAATCCCCCTTCACTCCTACAAAGTCCGACGTTGGCTCCCTCCCAATTAGGAACAATGGCTTGAGGAATAGGAATAATTTAAGTACTTCCAGATGCAGAACAAAGCGATACAAAGTTGGCACAATCCCTTATCTAACGCACTTGATAAATAAGGACATGCTCAAATTCTCTCGCAAAATATCCTGAGAGCTCCGGACTTTTTGTGTTTGCAATTTGGTTGAGTGATCCACCGTCTCTATTCTTGGCATTTTACTCCTTGATTTACATCCTGGGAATCATACATGTAATGTATTCAAAAGCCAAATCCCGTTAGCTGAGAAGATGGTTGTGGTGTTGAGGGTTGGTTTTTGGGAGGTTTGGGCTGGGTTTGTTTTATGAGGGAATTGTGTCCTTTTTTTCCCATTGCATGTGTGTATGTCAGTATGTTAGTTTGTATGCATGGATCTAGTGTTCCTTTTGGTTTTTTAATGTCATTTTGATCATTTAGTTGTTGTGATTACAATTTGGTATTTTTATTTATCAATTCATATAAACTTTTTATTTGATGTGTATACTTGTATTTTTACTGCTTTCGATTTTGATATATAGTTCCTTGTGACTTTTATCATTTTAATGTAATAATTGTAAATCAAACTGAAATTCAGCCTTTGGCTGCGAGAGTTTGGTTGGTAAACCATAAATAATAATAATTGTAATAAAAATGTCAGTTCACCTACATGTACATTGCCAGGTTTCTAATAATATCTTCACCACTTGACTGCAGAGACTCAGAACTTGACCACAGTTGCCAAGGAGTTGACTACGTCAACTTCCTTAGAACTTCAGCCCAGAAACTTAGAGCTTGACCCAAAGATTTAGGACTTGACCCAAGAGACTTCAAACGCCCAAGAGTGGAGACCAAAGACTTGAATTTCAAGAAATACCATGAGTACCTGACGACATATTAAAAGGAATATCACAATTGAAACAGGGTGCTACTTTAGTTTCTTTTTCTTTGAAAACATGCAGATAGCAATCGGCATAGAGTCCAACCTGATTGTCTTTCCCATCAGTTTGCTGATGGTACAGTGTTTTAAGAAGTCCAGGGTTCGTCGGAAGCGACCCTCCAGGATCCAAGTAGCCAAGGAACATCAGAAGAAGAGCATTCAAGGAGGCAACAAAGTCTGTCCAATGAAGACCAAAGATGATATCTGTGACACGGTTCGTGAGAAACCATGAACTCTCAAAACACCAACATCAAACCCAGTGTAGATAGAGGCACCAGGAATCTTGTTGCATGAGGTGTCATGAGAATTTGAAAAGACTTTGCGATCATTTAGACAAGTAGTTGAAGCTAAATGCATTGGTGAAGCCCAGGACCCAGTCCTTCTGTGGCCTAACACACAGTCACCCTCTACCTCAATTCCTCTTCAGGTGTCCTCCAGAGACATCTTCATCATCAGCAACGATGCCAAGATTAACATGCAGCCCTCCGGGGGTTCCTCCACCCTTTGCCTCACGCATCGGAAGAACCCTTCAGCCAAGCGATCTCAGCGATGGAGTCTACCCTGGGGGTGTATCTACCTGGCCTGGATCATCTGTATCCTGGTGACACTGACTGCTACAGCTTTCACCTTCTCCTATGGCGTGTATTTTGAAAATGCCAAGACAACCAGCTGGATTCACTCTGTGATTATCTCCTTCTTCTGTGGTATTATTCTGACCCAGCCTGTCAAGGTACAAACATCTTGATTCCCTCAAGTAGAAAGATAAGTTCTTACCAAAGATGAGTGCTTTTGGTAGTCATACTAAGCATGTTTAAACAGACTGTTCCTCCAGATTCTCATGGCATTTCCTTGGAATAGTCCTTGTTTTGTTAGGATCTCCAGATTGTTTTCTTTTTCCATCATAATAGCTGATTCATGTTCATTTCAGAAGCAAGTGAAACGTTATTCGTATTATGGCAGATATTCCTGCAGCAAATTCACAAAAGTTAAGCACCTTCCAACTTTGGCATGGTCCGTGGTTAATGCTACACGCTGGCTTACGTTTTGTCACAAGAATTCAGAATTCTAATATGATCATTAAGTCTGATTCACAAGTCGGTTTGGCACCATGGTACTTTCCTCGCCTTCTACCTCTGTGGTCTGCGTTTGAATCCAACCTAGGCCAACATGTGGATTGGGTTTTCAGTCCCCTCCTGAATCTTTGGGTTTTCCCTGGAATGTATGTCAGGGCTTTTCCTCCCACCTCAAAACCTTGAACATTTCTTTACTGTCTTCTTCCTCCCGGGGGCTCTAGGGAAAACAGTTTATAACTGAGAAGTTAGCTTAGCTTAGTTTAGCTCTCAGCTTAGCTTAGCTTAATAAAAAATTTGAAGAAAACTGTCAAAAACAAATAAGACTTGAAGGTCATACAAGTCTAGAAATTGAAAAAAGCTTGTTTCCCTTAGACCTTGAGTTTATGCTCATAATGTTGACTTGATATCAGAGTCCAGTGTCTATTTGGATTTTTCCCTTTGACACATCCGTCAGGTGATTCTAGTGTCGCTGTTCATTGCACTTGTCTTCAAAACACCCAGCGCTGATGATGATGCAGATCTTGAGGAAGATGAAGAAGATTGTTACCTTCAAGAAGATGAAGAATGGCTTCACACCCTCTATGGTTTGTCTCAACCCTGCTCTTCATACATTCTCAATCACTTGAAACAAAGACCTTCTTCAGCAATCCTTTTACATTTCAACTGAATCTGCACTTGTATCTAATTCTTCATGTGCATTATTTACAGAGCTTGAACCATCCTCTTCCAATAATGTTGATATGAACATTCATACTAACAAAACTGATAAAGATCCCCCATCTTCTTGGTTAAGGAAAAGAAATAAACTTGTGGTTTTCATTGTGTCTGGCCTCTACATGAAATGTCCTTGAGTTTTCATCTTTACCACAAACCACAACTTCCACTGATTGCGCTCCACTCCTTCAAATTACTAACTATTTATTTAAGACTACAAATTAAGAAAACATGAGAAACAGATAAAAAGACAAGCCCATGGATTACCTAAAAATGAAATAATTGGTTTACTTACTTTACTTTACTTAGGAAGGGCTAACCTCACAAACAATAAAAGCCAAGATGGCACCATTACAAAACAAGAATGACCATGAGACATTCCAATAATTATAATGATGATACTTTTATATTACTAAACATTTGTTGCCATGCATATTTATGGGCACTTTTCTTTACTGAGCACGCACCAATGCTCCACTCCCATTCCATCATGGTCAAACTTAGCCAATGAAATTATTTTCATAATATCACCTGAAATTCTAGGAACGACTAACATCCATCCAGTGGCTGCAAGGGCTCCCCCAGATCCTGACATTATAGAAAGCCAACGCATCAAACGTGTTAAAGAACTGAAGATGTACGCCATCATTCGGGAGATTTTATTCAGCATCATCTTCGTCTGGATCTTGTCTGTCTTCAGCTACGGTAACCAAGATCCTTTGGCGTTCCGCACCAAGGATTCCTATGTGAAACTGCTTGTCCGTGGAGATGGTAACCATACCTTCCTGAATGTAAGTCCAGTGGTTCGGTCATTTGGTCAAAGCGTGATGCTGGCAGTTTTGTGCAACATGGAACATAGTTTTAAGCTCAATTTAATCTAAGAATACTTGCCTCTTGCTCGTTTTGTCTTTTCCTGCAGGTAGCATAACTATATCAAAGAATATGTTGAACTTTTTATGTGAAACATTGCCTTTTAAAATGGTATGGGTAATGGGAAAAGGATATAAAGCAATGTTAAATACACTCGCCCATCTTAAACCTGAATGATTTCATATTCTGGTGTTTTATGTAAAATAAAAAGGGGAAGTTTATTAACAATGAAAAGATCGAATATCAGGACAACAAATGACTACATAAAAGCTAGCATGCATTCATGCAATGTCAAATGTTGTTTGCGTACAAATTTACCAAAAAACTGTCATTGTGTTTATTTGTTTTTTTCTTCTTTCCCAACAGGCAACAAGTATTCCCAAGTTCTGGAAGTGGGTCAATACTGGTCTCATTCCAGGCATGTCTGCCGGCATCTGGTACAATGACCAAGAACCCAGTCCAGATGAGAAAAACTTCCTAGGAGATCGTTACTCCAAGATTCTTGGCAAGGTCATGTTCCGTCAGTTGAGGGTCCCACAAGGTAAGCTGAGAACTTTTCTCGTAGGTAAAAAGACGTCTTTGAGACAATAACATATGCTGTTGCCACAAACACTCGTTTTTCTCTGAATCTGGTACGGCATTTTTTAATATTAAAGTAGCATTGCTAATGCCCACAGTTTCTGACCACATTTGTTTTTTCTAAGACCAATTTATGATTAGTATCTGTGCACATTATGCTGGTAACATCACAACATCTTTGAAAACATCTCAGGTCCTAGGAGAGTATACAGCTCAATGCAGCTATTGCAGATGCAACAGTCAATCAAACACGATAACCATCTCTGCTGTCATAGGTACTCATGTATCCTCCTCGGTGGAGAGAGGCAGTTAGGGTAAAATGACTTTACCTAGGACTACAACATGTTATCACCTGCCGAGTGATGGATACATCAAATATGTCCTCCCTGCCTCCCTTGAGGCAATACTGTGAGGGTGTTAGTGTCTTGGTGGCTTTGGTTCCAATGGCAGTAATACCGTATTTACCCTTAGTCTCTCTCCATGTCAGTGAGCAGTGAGGATTTCTACATGTTGGAGTAATTTGGATGCCAAGTTTAGACATCCATTGCTTCAACTTAATCCTCTCCACCTTAAGGCCAGTTCATACTTTGCACGAAAGGGAACACCAACGCAAATTTGTGATGTCAGATCAAACATTCCCAGTGCAAATTTGTAAAAGGTGAACACGTCAACTCGATCAAAATTTTGCCGCAAAGTTGTCGGGACGTCAAATTTGCTTCGCATTCGCATGAAGTATGAACCAGCCTTTAGTTTGCAGTTTCAGTAGACACATCTCTTGATGTTCATGAAGACCAAGAATTTATCAGGAGTTGATGCTGTCCACAGAGTTACATGGTTTACACAATTACTGTTGCAGCACTTGATCATTTAGCACTTACTGCCACCGATTCTGATATTGACAAAGATCGCAAGCTTTTGTTGACTCACAGTCATTCCTTTGTCGTCTTTTTTGGTTAGGAGATTGTGAAGTCAATTACAAAATGCGGGGAGTGATTGCTCAGTGCAATATCGGTTATTCGATGGCTGCTCAAGATGAAGCCACCTATGATACGGGATGGACTCCATATAATCAGAGTGGCTCGAGCCATACAGAGTATACGTTCACGGATGGTAGTGAATTGGATAGTTACCCTGTATGGGGACGTCATGCATTGTATCATGGTGGTGGGTACATACACTACGTGGACACAGAGAATATAAACACCATCAAGGCAGCTATGGATAAGATGTATAAGGAAGCATGGATTGACAGGTACACCAGGGTTCTGTTTATCGAGTTCTCAGTCTACAATGCTCAGACCAATCTCTTTAGCTTTATCAATCTGATGTTAGAGATTTTACCTACTGGTGGCAGCTATCCCAATTACCGTATTGATGTGCTAAGGTTGTTGACGTACCACGAGGGTATTGGTCTAGTTCGGGTCATATGTGAGGCTATCTTCTTTGTCTTTATCATCTGTATGACGATCAAGGAGATCTTTCTGATCCGTAAAGAAGGCAGGAAGTACTTCAAGCTTTTCTGGAATTTAAACGAGCTGGCTATTATCGTCTTCTCCATCGTCACAATGGTAGTGTACTTCTTCCGTCTCTTTGTCACCAACTCCCTGTTAGATGCCTTTGCTAGAAGGCACAACGAGAGTCGTATCAACTTGCAGTACGTGGCCTACTGGAATGAGCTGATCCGTTACATGCTAGGCCTCTTGGTTTTTCTCAGTACTCTCAAGTTCCTGAAGCTTCTCCGTTTTAACCGTCGCATGGGTCTCCTCTCCAGCACCATTCGTAGCTGTGCTGAGGAACTCCTCAACTTCACTGTCATGTTTTTCTTTGTCTTTGTAGCCTTTGCCTCGGCATTCTACCTAATCTTCTGTAACCGGCTTCTGAACTATTCAGATGTTCTTTTCACCATGGAGACCATGATCACGGCTGTGCTGGGCAAGTTCAGATTTGGCGAGTTGTTGGTGACAGAGAGTGTTCTGGGACCTCTCTTTTTCTTTGGGTTTACCGGCTATGTCTGCTTCGTAATGATTAACGTCTTTCTGACTATCATCATTGGGGCATTCAAAACAGTCAAGGAGGACATAGAGAACCAGTCCAATGAGTATGAGATGGTGGATTTCATCTTGAGTCGCTTCAAGTCCTTCACAGGCATTGGTGGAAAGAAACGCAAGGAAGATGAATTACTGCCCAATTTGGATGTTGAAAAGTACGAAGAAGATATTGCTAAGTCTCTGCCTAATAAGGTAGACCAGCTCCTCAACAGGATTGCTTATGTCTATTTTGACCAGGGCACCATGAACGACTTCATCAAGGAGGTGTCGTCTTTAGAGAAGAAGCAAGAGCAATCCAAATCCAGGAAAATTTTCATTAGTTAAGAAAGCTTGGCTTGATAATTTGAAGACTGAAAAAGGTTACAGGAAGGTCTAACATATTTGTTTGTGATCACTCATAATAAGTAAGAAATTCTTGCAAATCTTTTCAGACTAAAGTCCACATTTACTCAAATTTCACTTCAACCATGTTTATTCATTGCTACTAATAAAAGAGGTACAAGTTTTAAACTCGAGCAAGGAACAGAGGCTTTCAGATTGTAATAGTAGTGGCAGATTTATTCAGGTTTGGAAACGTAAAAGTTAGAAGTGGAATGTTGTAACCTAAATTTGAATTGAATTTGTTGTAGCACGAGCTTCACTTCAATCAAGGAGGAAATGCTCAGAATTGTCAGGGGTACAGTTGTTCTGATAGTTGAAGGAAAAAACGATTGTGTTGAAGACAAGTTAAAATGTATAGAAGTCTGTATATTATTGTAATTTAAACTTTAAATACTTGCCGATTGTCGCTTACATTTAGACAGCAGGTTTTAAACACTTTTGAACAATGGACAATGTATTAATATAGATATCTATATTTAGAAATGTTACTTCATACTTATATATGTGAATAAAGTTTGAATATTACTGTTTACTGAATTTGCATTTATTTATGGTTCGGTTTTGCAAATACATGTATTAAAAGACGAAAAAAGTAGTGGATAATACTTATTGGTATAAAGCTGTTAGTATATTTATTCAGAAAGATATGACAAAACTTAAATTATCAGAAAATTAATCTGAAAAAATTGTGAAATAAAGTCTGAAACTGTACAAATGCCGTTTTTTCCTGTTATATGAAATAAGTGCCTTTTGTGTGTGTTCAAGATTAACAAACTCGTATAAATACCTTTCCGTTTATCACGTTCAATTTGTTCAGCAACTTTACCGAATTCAATCAATACTGTCGATACAACTGACAGAAAATAAATGCACAGGGCAACAGGCGAACAGTTTATAGGAAATGAGAGTTATCAAATGACCTTAGACAGACAACAATGTTGAAGTAGAGAAAACCTTATCATACAGGCATACAGAGTATTAACGCTTATTTAAAAGAAAAGGTTATTTGACGGATTATATGTTTCAAAAGCAGTCATTTTGATTGGTTCATTTTGTTCCATGAATTACGGAATGGCAGGATTGTGTTGGCTCAAAACTTCTGAATCCGAAGCCCGTTACTACATTAAGAAGTTTGAGGTCAACAATCCTATCAAGACCTATACCAGTACTCGAGATCTGAGTTCCTGATATACATGTAGGCCTATCGGTGTGTTAGATATTTTAGGCGATCTCTGTGTGGTTGCCTTTAAACAGTTTTGAAATAAACCAATTTTTTTGTGCTTGAAGTTCAATAGTTATGGTTTGTGTGGTTCTTCTTTGTGAACAAAGTAAGTCGCATGTAATTCGGTTTTCACACAAAACAAGTCTGATTCGCAAGGGGTTATATACATGTATGTGATAAGTGACGCACGTCCTTTAGCTGTAAAAGTTCCAAGTATGTCAATGTTTTCGGTGTTCCGCAAAATATTACAGAAAACGGAGGAGAGTTAAGTGGACCAACCATCTGCGGCAGACGTAATATGTAACGGAATTTCTCTGCGTGTGTACAGTACATATAATGTCTTTCAGCGCTATAATAGTGATTTTTTTTGTTTTGAAGATTGAAGTTGAGAACTTTAGGTTTTGTACCTCTTGTGAAAATCCTGAAGCTAAATATCCTTCATACAATTCTTTGCGGAAAGATAAACCTCGAGTCTTCAGCACAGAATAGACAGAACGACGTGTCTTCAATTTGAAGATTCCGAGGACTTAAATATAACTCACTCTATCTTCTGAGAGAATGTTTATGCTCATCAGAAGTCTCATCTGAAGCTTTAAAGCGGAAATTGACCAGTTTTTGAACTCCTTTCGGGAATCTCTGGAAACGATGATTGTGGACGTATGGAGTTGTTTCCGTTCAAGCTTTCCTCTTGCAATTCAGAATTGTTCAACAAAATTTTAGCATGTGGACTCATTCCCGGAAGAGTTTGTTTTAAAGGCATCACATTCTGCTGATATTACTTGTTTTTAAACGCCTTTTCAGAGTAGGGATAGAATTTGGGCAAGAAACAGTTCCTGTCTAGGGCGAGAACTTTTTTCACTTTCCATTTTGGATCTATCGTCATGTGACATCGGGAAGTTGCATTTTGCTTTAAAGACATTCTCAATTTAAATATTGCTGATGATAAAAAATGAATTGTAAATACCACCGTAACTGGTTTCAAATTATCTGCAACAAGTGCCCGCGTGCTGGGCTTGAAGACCTCATTTATAAACGCATATTATAAATACTTCTTGTTTAAAATTTCTGGATTGTTCTCGTGAGTAAAACTAATTCCCCTTTTGAATTCTGTGGGCGATTTTAAGTTTTTTCTTCACAGCAAGGACGAACATAGTTGTTTCTTTTACGATGAAGGAAAAATGTGTCCGTGAAATGTTTTTTTTTTCGTTGATGCTGCAATTCAGTGTTTTCTCTTGCCGATACCCAAATTGTCAATTAGAATTCATTTACTAATAACCTACTTACTCCGATTTCCAAATAGTCTAGAAAACCAGCACATATGACCAGAGAGGCTGTTTTATAAGCAGTTGATCGAACAAAGCATTAACGCAACCGATGACCGGAGTTACTCGCTCTTATTCCAGCAGCGTATTTGTGGTCTGTGCGAGGCCGTAACACACGGCCCAGCGGCCTTCCTGCTCTCGGTAATGAGCTCCCGGGAAATCATAATACGCAATTGAGAATTCCGTGGGAGTTACAATCAACTTTATTTTATATGATATTGGGTTTGTCATTACGTTTTGGAAAATCTCAGCATATGGTCTGATTGTGGTAAGGAGGTTTGTTTGCCACTCTCTCGATTGATTTTTACTCACTTTTCTCAAGCCGTGAGTTGAATGAGGTAAGATTTTAAAAAGTGTGACAACAGGGTGGGTAAACAGTAGGTCTTGCAACTAAAAATCAATCTAAATCAGACACTGTTGTCTCCTATAATTCCTCGCTCCTTTTCCCCCTTCATACATGCTGCTGTCGTTTCTCAACACCGTTTCTTCTGTATCCCAGGTATGAGAGGGAGGAATCTAGATGTTTTGGAGCGGGATAACAAACGGGGGAGATACTAGATACTAGGCCCTACCTTCCAACCGAGATGTTTTTTCAGATTGGTTGAGTTTGGTTTTGTTTATTACCACACATCACAATTAGAACATAAAGAAGCAATGTTATTACAGAATGAAATAAGAGATGATGAATGGCGGATACCAGACTGAAAGAAAATGCTTGTTCTTGGCCTGGTTCCGTATTTGTCACAATAATATCCATATGCAGCTATAATTACAGAACAGAGCACACAGAGAGTAAAGAAAGTAAAATAACTGAAGGTACAGCTGAACGTCAGAATTAAGCAAAGCTTTTCATTCTTAGGAATAAACACAAATCTAAATATGACTGCTTCAATATTAAAGATATGATTGCACAATAGAAATGTGATATACGTATACTGAGTATAATACAGGGTTAAAAACTATAATATACTAGAAAGGAGAATATTCTTCAAGTACTTTGAAACCCTGTATACTTCTAAAGTATTGTGGTGATTTTATTCCAGGGCAAAAAGCCTTGATGTCAAACTGTTTTAATAAATATTGTAGTTCTAGCCTTCGCAACGTGAAGCTTTGCTGCTGACGTAGTATTATATAAGTGGACTTCAGTATTCCTCAGAAACAACGATTTGATTTAAGGGGGTAGAAGATTGTTTTCAAATTTAAACTTGAAATTCTAAAGATTAAGGAATCGCTCCTCACAAACAACTGGATTTCTTTAATCAAATCCCAAGGGAATTCAAGATCATGTGACGGACAAAGGAACCCGTTAAGTACCAGGTCTATTGTGATTGATTGTGTCTTTTTTCGATTTCTGAAATTGTTCACGAAGGAGGTATATTTGAGGCAGTGAAAGACTTGATGGAAATCGTGCAACAAAGCGTGCTCCTAAACTCTCCCAAATGTGTGGGTAACCGTAGCCGACTTCATTTTGTAACATTGGAAATCGGATTCCGAACTAGAAGTTGGACAAAGATTTGAAACGTTACATTACCGAACTGCTGAGATCAGTTAAGATGAAACAGACACTTTATAGGACTACATTAAGCTACGGAGGGAATTGTGTTGCCGGGTTTTCGCTATCTAGAGGGATTTTTGAAAACTCTTGAAATAGATCTGAATTACGAGATCGATTGGCATCCTCGTCTTAATTAAAAGACTTTTACCTTTGCTTTCTTCATGTATGTTTATAAAATAAGCTTACATGTTTTCATAATGTGCATCGTGGAATGTTAATTGAAATACATTCAGAGCGTTAAAATTACTTGCCTTCAAGTTCTTGTACCAGGGATTGGAATCCGGCCTCATTGCTTTATGTTTTCATTATGACACTCCCTTTACTTCTGACTGGAAATGAAATACAAATATCAAAGAACATGGGCGTCTGCGCTTCAGTTCAGAGACATCACAGACAGTTGTTTGTCTTTCGGTTAAATGGTGACATAGCTGTTCCAATCATTGCGTGTTTGGCTAATTTTTTTGCATGTTGAGCTCCGTTGATTTGAGTTAATCTTGTGATTGCGAACTTCTTGGCTCAAATGACCGGCTGAGTTAAATGAGTTTTGTTAGTTTAAACATTACACAATGCAAGAATCTGCGCAAGCAGATAATGTTGAGATTTGTTGAGGCGACAGGAGAGGTCGGTGCAGGGTTACTTTCCTGTGACTGGTGTTCTAATTTCGCCGTTGGGAGGGGGGTGATGTAAGGGGGGTAGAGTGTAAGGCATCCTGAAGGCACGCCCTGTGAAGGGGGTGCTGTGCATCCCTCGAAAAATATTGAAGTCTAGAATGCTTTTTCTTGCAAGGCAATCGGAGAGTGAATTTCGAATCTGGAACATTAAATATTGCATATTGCAGCCCCATTTGGGTCGTATCGTAGCATTACTCAGCTGCCAGGGAGGGATAATCTACAAAAAGCCGAAATTCTCTACTGGTTTCAGGACCCTATCTGTTTTGTGGGTGTCCTGAGATAAGCCAAATATTATTTTCAAAGTCTCCTTCTTCAATGAAACTCTAACTTTTCTCTTCAGATTCCCTAAGGTATCCAAACAATTGCCATTGGCACTATCGGTTTTACCGTCAAAATGAATTTCATAAAACAAATAATACATTAAAGCCCAGCCTGGCAACGATGTCTTATTTTTCACCTTTTAGGTCAATTTCAGCTATTGATGGCAATAAAGGCTCCGTTTATCATAACGGTATGTTTTGCTGCCTCAATGTTCATTATATTGCAAGGAGATGTGCTCAGCCATAGACCCAGGCGTCTGTAAGTCGGTAAAAGCTCGCTGTACATTCATCTACTGAGGGTCCGCGACTCGTGCATAATGCATAATTAAGAAGAAATTTGCCAGCTCAGATGAGTGATCGACGAGCTTAAGACGATAAACCCGCCGCTGGCCCAACCACGTGCAACTCCCGTCTAGAAGATAATTCATTTCACCGTTGTTTAATATCACTAATTAATCGGCTTTACGGTTTTAGGTAATTTAATCGCCTCACGTCCACCAATCTTGCTTAGATATGGAGAAAAATGTAAACTGTCGTTTATTAGATTAAAAGAATTTAATCAAATTTGTCTGATGTAGAAGTAACCAAACTGGAAACTGGCAAGGCGCTTGTGTTAAAATTATAAGGATGCAAAGACATTTCAAGCGGGAGGCGAAAACACAGTTAAAACAGAATTTAATTCCACCTGGGATCAAATTTTAGGAGACATTTATTGGCCGTAATATTGAAAACAGGCTGTGCGTCAACGGTTGCATTGTCAACATGACAGTGAGTAGACCATGGAGTCTCCCTGAAAATAAAATGAACGAATTTCAAATTTTGGACTGTGGGCCTTTGATGATGATGATGATGATTTTGAACGCCAGTCAAGTATTCATTAGGTTGGTTTCATGCCGACATAAACGCAAGCCGTCACCCGTGTATTTTCATTTGCTTTCCCGTCACCTATATGCCGCCATCCATGCATGCGCGCACACACACACACACACAGCCCCCGACTGACCGGCAACAGAGAGCCTCAACATTGGCCTCGCATGGCTGATGAAACCCAGCCCGTATAATGCATATACAGCGAGAAACTAGACACTGCGACACAGGGCCCCAAGGAGAATCTGTCTATCTGCCCCGCCGCGTCCCTAGAATTAAACATAAGGAACGCACCACAGTTGTACACAGAGCGAGGGCTTTGCTCGTACAGCGCCCC